TACACAAATTGATGCGAAATGAATTGCAATATATTATTAACATACCAAATTAACAGACATGAGTTGTTGTAAAGTCGCGACTAAAATTAACAAGGCACACGAAAATACGAAGCCAAACATAACCGTTAAAGCTCAAAAGAGAAGAAACAAGAACAACCCCAAAACAGAATACGTTGACTGTTTTGTATATGTAAAAGCAGATACCCTGCAATTTTATCTTTTCATTGACTCTAAATCGAAAGACTACAAATATTTTGATTACCTGTACTAATTATTTAAATTCTGAAGCTTTGTATTACAAATGCTATTTAATTGCTCTGTTAAAGACTCACTTTTAAATATAAAGAACACCCGCACACTTACAGGGTATTAGCAGTGATCAACTATGCTATTAAAGGATTTTACCAATGTTGCCAGATTATAAATAATGAAGCCTTCAACGAATAGTAAACCCTCACGTAGAGTAACGTGATTTTTTCCAAATTTGATTGGCAGCTATAGAAAATGCATTCCATTTCGCAAAACAACGTGTTAAAGTGTTATAAAAACTAAAATTACAAAGAACTAATAAAATATACGCCTTTGCCACAACAATAATTGATCCATAAATGGATAGATAAGCCAACTCCAAGAATAGCTGGCAACTATTTAAGCATTTTTATGTTTACAATTAAATTTAAAGATCGGTCATTTATAATGTGTATTGTCTGAAGTGAATTATAATTGCAGTTGCGTGCATTAAAATTGTGATGGAAGATTGAAGTTGCCACGCTTCAAGGTAAACAAGTTAAGCTAACATAACTTTGGCTAAACAATTTATTGGCCAACAGAAGTGGTCTCGACTAGGAGATATTCTATATAGAAAACAGTTTTTAAAGATAACCTCTCAAAAATCAGTAACTTAATTTTCTAAGCCTACATAAACAATTGTATTTTTAGCAGATATTATCTACATATATATATATATATGTATTCCACAGTTACGACTGCTCGAACTGAGCTCTAAGAGTATATACAGAGTATACAACTAAATATGCATAATTTTATTTCCCACAGATTATAAAATTAGCAATTAAACAAAAGGTAATTTAAAATAATTGAGCTTGTATGCAAAATGTATTAAATAATCGCAATCAATATTACTAAACAAATAAAAAGAGCTGCATTTATGGCATTAATTGTCAATGTGTGAAAGTTAAGGGGGCGAAAGGGGTCTGTTAGGCCTGTTGGGATCGGATTTCAATTATAACGGAAATTATTTGCCATCTGTTTGCTGTTTGCTTTGATAAATGCACAAATTTCCCATTCTTTGCTTGCTATTGTCATAAATATTTCATTTGTCAAAAAAAAAAAAAACATATTTATTAATAACATGACAAGCATGATATTAACGAAGAAGAAAAAAAACTGATACAAAAAACAAATATGGTCAACAAATTAAATTAATTAACAAAAAAGATGTAAAGTGAATAGAAATGCCCATAAAAAATACGTTTGATAAAAAAAAGTGATATTAAAAAATTGTTTGTCAGCTTCAGAGTAACACAGAGTATTGAAGTGTCTAACTGAAGGATATAGAAGGTGATTTTACATTTTTATGCACTATAATAATAATAATAGTAAGTGGTTCACACTAGTAGAAATATTTGATTTCCTGTTCCCCTTGAGTTTTCCCACATTTCCATTCACCAATGGGCCATTCATAAATTGAGGAAACAATATAACTCTGGGCTAACTTGGCTACAGATTTATCGGCTCAAAATGCTAATTAACATTTTATTGGATGCAACGCCGTTTTTTTTTGTTTGTGTTTGGCTCACTAATTAATTTGTTTAGCGAAATTATATTTAAAAGAGGCCCAGCCCCTGAAGTAAGTGCTAATCAGTCTGACATGCTTCAGTCTTTTAACAATTGTTTGTTCCATGCGCGAGCCTTTCAAAATTGAATTATAAACAACAAAAATCTTGCTTATATATGTATTTATAATACTTTGGATTATCTGGTTTATGTTTACACACTTGGGTTTTTTTTTTACTCAACTGTCAATAAGTGCTTTTTGTTTTGTTATTAAAATGTTAATTCGTCAAGCTTAGTCAGGTTGAGTGCAATTTTTAAGGCGTCATTTTTAACTGGATTACGAGTCTTGAGATTATCATAAATTTAAATTAAATAAAAAAAATATTGTTACTTTGAATGATATATTCTGCCAACTAAAGAGCTCTTTCGATTAAAATAAGAGTAAGATACCGGTGGATTATAACTATCAATATATAATAAATAAAACATTATTTCAACTAGTAATTTTTAATAAGAAAGAAAATTATGTTTATTTTTCAAGGCTTTCAATATACATGAGTGGGTTGTAATAAATATGTGATGAATCATTTTCAAACACGCCCACCAACCAACTAATCAGTTGCTATAAATTACAACATTTTCGGCATATTAATATGCATTGCCAATTTGCATGAAACTTATGCGAATAACTGGAAAATGTTGTTGAACAGATTCAATGGGAGAAACAAAAATATTTCGTAGTCAAACATGCCAAAAATACTTTGGTTGCCCCAAAGGAACCTCAACCCTTTACCATTTGAGAATCGGCTCCTCGTAGATGCCTCAACAAATAACTTAACAAGTGATTAGCCGCCCAAAAACTTTACAGCATCAAAAGTTGCTTTGGTTGCCTGGCTGCTAAATTATACAGCACACTTTTAGGCGCAATGTCGAGGCATAAATTATTAGAAAATTTTTGGTTGGCTTTTGGGCCCTCGGGCCAGGCTAATGAAAACGCTGTCTGCATATATTCTTCAGCACAAATTTGCCTATGCAATTTTCGCCTAATGATGGCAAAACTTTAAATAAGTGCCAAAACAAGCCCATCCAAATTTATTCTAAGCAATTTGACTCGCATTAATTGCCGGCAATTGTTGGCAATTGTTTCACAGGAAAAATGTTGAGCTATCTTTCAACTATTCAATTATTGTTACAACATAATAATAGTAAAATAATAATAATAAAAAAAAAACTCTAACGTAAAAAGAAACATTCACTACAAAATTGTGGCCAGAAACAAAGAAATGCACATTCACATATCTATCTTTAGAACATCATTGATTTAATTACGAGCTGTTGTGCCGAGTATATTTTTTATGTGAACCACAGCTGCAAATCAGACAAACAGGTGCGGCTACCCAGATGCGGAAGAGATACGACTGAATATATGTAGATATAGCACATTGTGCCAGGGGTCCAGCAATTAGTTTGAATAAAACTAAACTGTCTGGCTAGTTAAGTGCGAATTGTGGCTATTTAGTCAGTCACTAAATGTAGATCTCTGTGATTGCGCCAATGGCATATTTTGCATGTGCAACGTTCAGTGGGGCAACGGGGCAAGGGCAACAATGGAAAGTGTCTGTCATTGTCAGGGTCTGTATGACTACATAGAAAACAGCTAATAAGCAAATGGATACAAAATCAGTTATTCGCACAAATCTCTGTATTGATAAACAGGTTTCTGCTGCTCGCAAGTCAGGCTGTTGTTAAATAAATAATTTTTTTCTCGACTTTTACATTAAAAGATCTACTGTGAATACTCGTATATAGGTCAGTTCAAATAACAACTTTAAGTACTTCCATTAACATATTGATTGATTGATATTTTGATTAACAATAAAAAGAATAAAACGATATTTTCAATGAGATGATGTTTTATACAAATGTTATTCTCTTACAGCTTATACAGGATGAGTCAGTTTCAGATATTATATATAATATATATTCTTTATATAAAGAATTTCCGATTGGGTTTTTTTTTGCGGCTCTTGACTGCATTAAATAAAGGAATGTAAAATGTAAATAAGGAAAAATATATTTTTTTCAATTAACGAAATAAGTTTACTTTATATTCATTTATTCATTGTATTATCACAATAAGAAGACAATAAAAATGCCACATAATATCAAAATAGACTTATTTAAATAATAATATCTTTTATATGGTTCTTTGTTAGATTTTAGTTAAATGTTTACGCAAAAGATAAACAAATTGAAAGCCATTTTTTTATGGTTATTTGAGTATTTGTTATATACGATGAATGTTTTGCGGTTTAACTTGGTCAAAACCAGTTGACAACTCGTTTCAGGCTGTGTCATTGACGTTCAGTGTTAGCCATAAAAGTGTATGCCAACAAAACCATAAAACCCAATAAATCATATTTGTGCTCCAAATTATTTGCATACCCTAGCCAAAAAAGGGTCTTATTTTCATAGTCGGAACTTCAAAATACTTAAACTTTTACCATACCCATTCAGTGATAAATTAGATATTTAATGATAAAATATAAAATATCCTCGACTTACCTGCCAATTTGCCGACTGACCAATTAAGCACTGGCAATTTCACACACCTCTGCGTCAATTATAATTAAATATTACTGTTGGTTGATTAATGACGAGTTGGAAATGAAAACACCTGCTAAAAAGTCAGCTCAAAAATGTATATAAATTATATATCAAAACAGTATGTTTAGAAAACGCGACCGAATGCGGCAAACGTTGGCGTTGAACTCGCGAGAGCCGCACAACAAATGTAAAAACCAAATGACAAGAATTAACTGTGAATGACAACAACTACAACAACAGTTAGCAGAAAACCTATTGTATCCATAATTAAGTAGTTGTAGTAACATAAAATAAAAGTATCCAAACTGGTCGTAGCTGATATGCGCTGCAATTGAGTAAATCCCATTCGAAAGATGAAAAAAAAAAATTGTATTTTAAATTAGCATATGACTTGAAGAAACCAGAATATTAATTCAAATTAAAATCAAAGTATATATTGTGACGTCACAAAATAATTCCGGATTGACTTTTACTTTCGAATTTCCAGTTAATAAATAAAGATAAACTTAACTATACTTAACATATTGATGCATAAAGATTAGTTGAAAACAATTATTATTTGGACTTATCTTTTATTCCGATATATATACATATATTTCAAACAAAAACTTAGTGGTAACAATTTATATGTGCATATTAAATGCAACTTATACGCCTAAGTCTAATTAAGTCTACACATATCAATCTTGTTTCAGTAATGCATGCATTACGCCTAAATCGGATGAGGTACCAAGATGCACAAGCCATTGGATTACATATTATATTCAACGCGCTGCTTCGAGGTGGAGGGAAGCATAGTTTTCGGCTGCTGTTGCTGCTGAGTGTCGCCGCTCGGAGTTTTGCCGCTCTGCTTTTGGTAGACCAAACCGGCAACGCCTGGAATGGTGTTGCAGCCGACGCAGGCATGCAGCGTCTCATGGATGAATATATCACAATCGATGCAAAAGAACTGATTGCAGTAGCCGCACTTGAACACACTCTTGTCGGTCAACCCGTTGAGCACTTTGATGCAGGCATAGCATTTGCGCAGGCTGCCGCAATCGGGCGCCGCCGGTGGCACCGACTCAAATGGCAGCTCCTCAAAGTTGGGCACAGGAAACAGATGGTGATAGGAACGTGCCAGATGCGGCGCCGAAACGAGAGTCAGGCCACAGCACTGGCATTCGACGGGCAGTTCACAGTACTTGCTGTTGCATTGGGGGCAATGATGGCCGGTCGTTGACAGTCCGCTGGGCTCCTCAAGATTCTCGATGTGGCACATGCACATGGAGAGCGGTTCATCCTTGCCTTCGACCTCGTTCTTGCTGTGCGGAAAGCCCATGCGTATCAGTGAATTGTCCTGCGTCTTGGCAGCCGGTGGCGGATCCACCTGTGACAGCAGCTGGTCACGATAATGCGAATCATCCAGCACAGCACCAAAGGTGCCCATCGTCTGTTGGGTCAGATAGCGACATATATGGATTTCGGCAGATAAGGATATAACGGAGCAGCGTATACGCTCCTTCTTCAGCTCATCAATAGTCAGATTAATGTCCACGGGATCACAGGTCGTCAGCGAGCCCATTATGATGACAATTTCACGCGACGCATGCGAAGGAACCACCTTAAGTGTCTTCAACGCTAAATCCAGGCCATTTTGCAGCGAAGGTTCGCTGGTCAGCGACACATTGGCCATGCTGCAATTCGAAATAGAAATAATCTCTTTAAATATACATATATATATATATGGACAGATAGTCATCTCTTGGGTGATTGATATCTACTTACCCGGCCAGCGCCTTCAGATGAACACGCGATGTGCCCGTCAGTTCGGTTATTTTCTCGGCACGTTTTGCCTTTAGCGCTATGATGCCCAGCTGACTGATGGGATTCTGATCGAAGAACTCCTCAATAAAGATCTCCAGAAGTTTGAGGGTGCACAGCAAACGGGTGGGCTTCAAATCGGGCACGCTCATCGCCTCGGAGCAATCGAGCACGATGAACATGTGCCGCATCATGCCCAAACGATTTTGTTTCGTCTTTTCCGCCTGTCGCTTGCGTTTCGCCTTCTGTATGAGCTCGGCAATGGCACCGTCCAGCAGTCCATCGTCGTCCTCCTTGATGGCTTCCCTGCGAAAGCAAATTGACCAATTATAGAAAACAACAATAATAAGAACTGACAGAGGTTACCATGTTTTCTCGTAGCCAGTCTCCCAGCGATACTCCTTTTGATCGTCTTGTTCATCGTCAGCCATTTTAATTGTTTAATTTATTATAAGAAATACACTATTTATTGAAACTCATCTGCATGCAGAAAAGGCCGGCAAACAAACAGTGTGCACACAAATTTGAGTGGAAAAACCGGAACATACAGCTGTAGAGTTGCCACAGTTGCCACTGTAGCTTAAGATAACAACCAACGAAATTGTACAATTATTAAGTGAAATGATTGAAAAATATGTACATTATGCATATTAAAGAAATTACAGACCATTATTATTTATGTCCATTAATTTCGTTTACTGGCAAGCGACCAGTGCTGCCACATTGATCAAAGAAACACACCACGCTACATCATTGGGTGACAGAGTGCTACAAAACGCGTGCGAACGGAAAACGGCGCTACACACTTGGTTGGGCATATACGGTACAACTAAAATATCAAAGTCTGCATAGTGATGTGAAGATTGCAACTAAAGTGCATTTAAAGCCGCTAATATTATCAAAATCAAGTATAATAATAAAAACAAAACACTACCGTGCAGCGGTTTTCGTATTTTTCATTGTGGTGCGTATGTACATATATATAAAGTAGTGCACACAAAAGTCACCATTGCCATAACCATTAAAAAGAACTGGCCACTTCGTGCAGTTGTACAAAGTTTTTTGGCATTCAGAGTTGGCGCGCGTGCAATTGTGAACGGTGCTGCGCGATTTAGAGAATAAAAACAGTTAAATTAAAATTAGTTGCTGTTTAAATAAAAACTGGTTACACTCCATATTTGCGGTCGAAACACATTCGTATATGAAGGTGTGTAAAATAAGCGAAAGCACCTAAGCACATAGAAAGCGTGTGAAAAATGCATACACAAATTTGCATCGAACAGAGAAAAAAAAAGAAAAAGGCGGTCACACAAGTCAAATGAGCAATATTATTTACTAATTGCTCCTTAAAATGCGCGCAAGAACATAATGAAATCCTTGAACTAAAATTATCGTGGGTGTCTATGTGTATGTATATACACATCATACATATACATTTTAATAGTTTATACTTTGCAGTGTGCGGCATATTTGCCTAAAAAATGGCGGCTACCCGCAGATAAGAAATAATTTAAAGGACTTGACGGCTGCTCTGTGTGAAAAGTGTATCATATTGTTTAATACTGGCTGAGTGTGTTTTGTCATTTGCATTTTTCGCGCCCGGTTTGCTATGTTTTGTGCGTTTACTTTTAGTGCGCACGTTCGCTGCATTTTTGTTGGCCATCACGCTTTGTGCTCGCCTTTCTTGCCTAGGCGCTGTGCTGTATGCTCTGCAGCCATTTACATACGGCTAAAAAATTCACCACACTTATTACCAGTTGTTAACGTTGCCACCTCGTTGCATAAACACACCACGGCACTGTACTTTTTTTTTTTACTTGCGTGTGTGTGTGTGTTTATGCGCGTATTCTCTACGGTTTATATTTGTTTTTAAATTGTATAAAAAAAATCATATTTTATATTTCTTATATTAAAGTTGAAACGGTGGTTTTGTGTATAATGTTGGCACAGGAGATTGCACCGACTGAAATAGGCAAACACGAAAATATAATTAGAGGCAAGTGGTCGAAATTGAATGAAAAAAATGAAGAAACTTTAACTATGTCTATTGCTATTTAGTTGCCCAAGAGGAATTAGCCAATATGGATGTGCTGGTTTGTGGCCGCTGTTTACGCGCCTTCAACTTTGTCGAGGAGTTCCAGGCCCACAAGGAGGACGATGCATGCGAAAAGGAAAACTCGAGCCTTAAAGAATCGCTCGACACGAAGCCAACAATTTGGGCATTTACGCTGTGGAAGGCGACACAGTTGCACACCCGCAGGGAGAGCAACTCCTCAAATTCGTGGGCACTTTATCAGCACTGGGTGAAGCTGGAGGAGAGCGTGAGAGAGCCATGGATTGTCGCCGGCAGGACAATACAGTCCTTCGGCAAAATCGGACATGGTCCGCTACAGGATATGCCTGTGCGCATCACTAAAACTGTTGTCAATCCAAACAACAATAATAATAACAACAACAGCACTGCTAACAGCAATAACACATCCTCCAGTGTCTCACCTACAAGAAGTACGGTTTTTTTCGTTAATTATATTTCGATGTTATTCTTAATTTGCACAAAATGTAATATGGTTATTCTCCCATGCAGGATCTCCCGCTGGCAAGCAGTCGACGGCTGTTTCACAACTAAAGGATACGGAAAATGAGCGACCCAAATCCAAACCGGGCACACCAACACCCACTGGCGGCACCGTGGGAAGTCTCAGTGGCGCTGTGAAGAACAATAATCGCATTGCCATACGTGTCGATCCAAAAACTGAGCAACGCACCGAGGAGGCTGTTGAGAGTATTGTGGCGAAACGGTTTAATCCACGCCGTAAGACACATGAATATCTGGTTAAATGGATCGATCGATCGCACAATGAGAACACCTGGGAGGTGATGGCTAATCTGGAGCGTGTACCGTACTTTCTGCAAATGTTTGAGAAGCAACTGGCACGCCAGAAGCTCAAGCGTGAGAAGAGCCTCGATGCTCTCAAGCGTATGCAAGAAAAACCGTCGCAGCAGTTGTCATCTGCTGGTGGCAAAACTGATTCTGCACCCAACAGTCCGCAATCGTCAGCGGCCATTTCACCGAATTCGTCGGGCGTTGGCTCATCGCGTCCGTCGCGCACTTCGAAGACAAAAGCGATGGATCAATTTAAGCAATGGGTCAACGAGAGTTGCACCTTTGAGGGCTCCACATCGCCATCGTCGGCCAACGAGGATGAGTCTGCCACGGAACAGGAATGGTCAACGCCTACAACCATGAAACGCAAATTAAATCATGCTGACTCGAGTGCCGAGGCTGGCAATCTCAATGCCTCCAATGATTCCATGGATCTCGAAGATCTTGAAGAGGATTTAATACCATCGCATACGGTGAAGCGTTTAAAAAACGGCGGCAGTTCCGTGCAGCTGAATAAGCCCAAAATGCAAACGTCAATGCAATCAACAACGCCTTCGCGCATCAATGGCAATTCATTGTCGAATTCCATCTTGGGCGATAAAGATACAAAAATGGGTGATATCATCTACACGGAGGATATCACCAGTTCGGGCGTCTTCCGCAAGCCCGAAATGCCGAATACTACACAAACAGTAAGTCAAATCTAAGCTAGAAACTAAAATATTGCTCATTGCTGATTAGATTTAAATTGAAATTTTAAATAATCGCATCTCTGTTTGCAGAAGCGTCAGAAAATCGAGAGTCCTGTGCGTTATTTGTCTCACTCTGAAATTGTCAGCAGTAACCGAGGCATTTTCCGCATGGAACAAACGGAAACCACCAGCGCAATTTCGCCAGCTCCCAAGATTGGCAGCAGCTCCTCGGCGGTAGGCAACACATCCACATCATCGGGTAATGTGCCGGCTGCAAAGCGTATGGCTGCCGCTCGAGTGGCAGCCAACAATTCCCCGGTGACTGTGGGTCAGCGTACTCATGTGTTGCGCACACCTGGACAAACAGCGCAACTGCAACGTCGTCCCATGGCCAGCAGCACTAGCACTCCAAATGCACTGCGACAGGGACCGATGCCCGCACGAACCGGAGCACGCATGCTGGTCACGCGCGCTAACACGCCACAGCATCAGCAGCAACAACATCAACAGCAGCAGCAAAGGCAAGTTGTTGGTGGCAAGGCTGTGACGCCCGAGCAAAAGATATTGCAGCTATCGAAGAGTGGGGATCTCAAGGTGACGCGCAAAGTGATGACTCGCGAGGATCTGCTGGCACAGCGAGCGGCGCAGGTGCGTCAACAGCGACAACAACAAGCCCAGGCGATGCAACAACAGCAGCAGCAACAACAGCTGCAGCATCAACAGCAACAACAACAGCAGCAGGTGCAAACCCAGAAAGTGCAACAGCTGACGCCGCTGATGAGGCAACAGCGGCAGGTGAACGCAACCGCGCAAGCGAAGCCTCAGCCCATTCAAATTGAGATGGAAGTGGAGCAGGAAGAACTCACACAGCATCAGGCCCAGTTATGCCCGATCACTGGCAAATTGATTGGCCAGGAGGAGACACAACTGCAAATGGAGCAGGAACAGCATGAGGAGCAGCAGCGCGAACAGCTCGAAGCTGCCGCTCAGGCGCTGCTGGGCGGCGACCAGCAGGTGCTCACTAATGAGGATGGCTCCGCGTTGCTGGTGCGCGGCGAAGATGGCACCGTCTATCAGGTCGCTGGCAAGAATGCCGAAGGCCAGACAATACTCGTCACCCAAGGACCCGATGGTGAACAACAGTTTGCCTATGTTGCCGCCGCCGAGGGTGAGGATCAGGATGTACTCACACTGGATAATGCTGTTGCCGAGGCCGTTGCTGCCGTTGGCCAGCAAAGCGATCCGACTGCCGATGGTGGTGGCGAGCACATCTTGGTCAATATGACTGAGGAGGAACTCGCACAGCATCAGGCTGCCCTGCTGCAACAGCAGCAGCAGCACCAACAACAACAACAGGAAGCAGCGCCAGCGGGCAGCACACCGCCCACGGCTCAGATTCACATCACAACATCTGATGGCGACGGCACCGAGGCACAAATACCCGCCGAAGTGGTCCAAGCGGATCTGCCATCGCCGGGTAAGCAAAAGCAAAAATATGACTGCATAATTCTGAGGTACAAATTATAAATGAACATTTTTCTCCCTATTTGCAATGGCAGGTGGAACGCGTCGCGTTGTTTTGCTGCTGCAGGATGGCACATTTATGATGACTGATATGGCGGACGATCAGTTCAAGACGCTAAATATCCAGACGTAAATAAATACAAAAATATCTATCCTTAACTATCTTCTAGGCATATAGTATGTGTAGGTTATGAAGCATTAGTATGATATATATATATACATATATATATATATATATATATACTTATATATAGCCACGGGCCGTTCATTGCTATGAATAAGATGTATACACAAGGATACACACACACACACACACACAGGAAGCCACTTAGACTTTAAGCATAAAGCATTAACCTAAATCCCGTAGCTCTGAGATCCCATTATGCCAATCAATCATATCGCACCTCTTGAGCATTCGCATTCCTCCCATTTGCTCGACAGTTATATATATATATAATTGATATTTTTTTATTCCATTTTTATCCCCAAACAAATATCACAACAAGCAGGCAGAATTAGCGAGTACTTTTAGAGAGTAAATATTATTCAATCTGTTTGTGGCGTATTTGAATAGTAGTCGAAAGCTATGCAAAATTTGAAGTATAGTTTTTAACAATTGCTATTTGGCGAGGCGGGCGGCAAATCCATGCGAAATTTTAAATGTATACAATCCTGATCTAGAAACAACGGCAAAAAAAAAAGAAAAAAGTTCGCATTAAAAAGAAAAAACTTACCTACAACAAATTACTTGTAATTGTAAGAATTAAAACAAATAACATAAAACAAACAAAAAGAATGATAAAATGCAAATGCAAAACTATTCTTATCTAAAATTAAATTACTTAAAATAATTCACGATGTAATTCTTTATTCTAGGCAAGAACTAAATGCAGCTGTTGCATTTTGAAGAACATTTAAACAGAAAAGAACAGAGAACTCACAGCAAAACATTAAAAAACACACAGCCAAACACAGACACACACCCATACACACCACACACACAAGCACACACACACACAGCACGAGCAAACTTAGGCATATAACTACTGTAACATGTAAAATTATGATTATTATGTATTGTACATTATTTAAGTATTTTTTAAAATTGAATGAACTAAAAGCAAATAACAACACAGCTATGTTTACTAATTTTAAACTTTGAGCGTAAGTCAAGATGAAAACAAACAGCAACAAAAATGCCACAAAAAAAAACAATAGTTGTAAAAAAAAAAAAAAAAAATATAAACGAATATATAAATCGCAATTTAAATTAAAATAAAACGAGAAATTCAAGCGATTTCAATGGACTTTGGAAACAAACTCTCAGTTGTAAGAAATTTTTTAAAAGTGACTGCGGGGTCTGTAAATGTTTTTCTGAAAGATTTCTTTGTTTTGTGCCCTCTGCAAGCGTACAACGAATATAAAGATTCAATTCTCTGTTAACTTTAAAGGGATCTACTTTATTTTCATTAGCCAACAAACAAATCAAATTAATTTTGATGTTTGTTCAGTTATAAATAATATAAATCATCGCAGTTCTGATGCCTTCTGAAACTTTGCTATGAAAAATCCGACTGTATCCAAGTTCGGCACACGATTCTCAGCACTTGGCCCAAAACGCTGAAGCAGCGCACACTGCTCAGCACTCAGTTCAGGGTGCAGTGGCAGACCAGGTGCACCCAACTTGGGTGTGGCATCCATCAGTCGCAGCTGGGGGAATTTGCGCAGTGTCCACGCCACCAGTTGCTCACATTCCGCCTCGGTGATGGTGCAAGTGCTGTAGACAAGGATGCCACCGGGACGCAACAGTGGCACTGCCTGTGCCATTAGGTTGCGCTGTATGTGTGGATAGGATTGCAGCACCTTCGCCTGTTTCACATTGGAACAGAGCTGCGGCCGATTGCCCAGACCACTACAGGGTGCATCCAACAGAATGCGATCAAAGCTGTCAGAAGCAAAGGGAGGCGGACCACTTGACGGGCCATTGCCAGCGGCGTGCCACGCCTTGGTGGCATCAAATTGATGTGTCTCAATGCAGCTGTAGTTGGCCAGCTTCGATTGCATTGCACGCAAGCGATTCGCCGAGTTGTCCAGCGCCACAATGGTGCCCACATCGCCCATTAGCTCGGCCATATGCGTTGTCTTGTTACCCGGCGCCGCGCACATGTCCAGTATGCGTTCACCTGGCTGTGGCCCCAACACTCGAACACACACAATTGACGGCAGGTTCTGAAGCAGCCCATTCGCATCGCTCAGATCGCCCAGTGTGGGCACACCACTAATATTGCGCTGCATACGCACGGCAATCCCAGTGGGAGACGACTCTTCCTTCTCGTTGTTTTTGTACAATTGATGGCGTTGCATTTGCACTTGTCCAACGCCTAAAAAGATCTTCTCGTCGCACACGTAGCGCGTTGCAGTGCCCCGTTTGCATTTGCCGGGCAGATCTGCATACACATTCACCAGCTCCTGCAGTTGAGTGTTCGATTCCATTGCGAGAACGCCGGGTGCAAAAATGTGTGCGCCACGCAGTAATGCGGCACCACAGCTGGTGTCCACAATGACCTGCTTGAGGTGGTCATCCACTGGTAGATCTTCAGCTGCCACATCGAGTGGAGCTATGCACAACATTTCGGGCAGCTCGTCTAGTCCATAAACGTTGGGCGCTTTTTGGCCATATTGCGATCTCAATTTGGCCTGCAGTTGGGCCTTGTAGTCCGCTACGCTGATGCGCAGAGTGTTGATGCGATAAGTTGTAATTCGTGGTGTCTGACAAAGCCATGGCAGCAATCGGCTTAATGCTGTGGACTGAAACCAAAAGCCATCGAAAATATCAGAAATTTAAAAGACAGTGTTGCAACACCATAAGCAAACGTATTATTCATGCCAATGTTTCCCTATTGTACATAAAAAAAAGTTATCGACATATCGTACAATCTTTTTCTGCTGCTTATAGCAAAGTTTTTACATTCGGATTATTTTATTTGTTTGTTATTCAATTGATGACTCACGTTTGCTTTGAGAACTTCATTTTCCAGCAGCAATGCTTTGCCATAAAATGGTGTCTTCGGATAAAACATTGTGACAATCGATTTGTTAATATGTAGCGTGTTGTCACGGTTGCGCCTATCATCTCTAAATTCAACACACCGGCCCCGCTTGTGGACAAGACGTGGCAGCATATGAGAGTGCCGTATGCAAAATCACCATACTACACTGTAGTGGTGCTACTCTAACACATGGCCACGCTTAGCTTTGAGCTCATGCTCGGCGTTGGTGAGTTTGCAGTTTTTTCAAAGGCAAGTGGATTCTCGGTCAAGTTTTACTTCGCTCTGTGATTTCTCACATTTCCAAGCAGAAATTTATAAAATTTCTGCTCAAATTGGTGTGTATTTGATTCAATTATTTGGTGTGTATCGAATTTAGTTGTAGTTTGGGTGCCCATGTTGCAAAACGGTGTAATTTTGTAAAAAGCTGGTGGCATTTCGTTTTTTTGGTGCTGAAAATGCTACCGCAGCAATGTGGGTGATGTCGGTGTATTAGTGTAGAAATTTTCACACACACACGCACACACATGCATCTCTCGTGAGGAACTGACGATGGGAGTAGTATTGCTATCGGATGCATGAAAATCAAGCTATCGTCCGCGATAAAGCTGCTTAATTACCGTTTCGCAAATAATATGTCATCTAAATGAGCGTTGTATGAAAATGTGATGGCAATTACAATTATATGATGCCAACTATTTGTATTTAATTTCAATATGCGTCCCATCGATAGTCACGCTCTTACTTTTATCGATAGACGCTATCGCAGTTAACTCTGTCATCACCAACTTGTACATTCTTCTCCGCCGTCGGTTTGCTAGCAGAAAATTTAATCAAAGGAAAATTTACAAAAAGAGCTTCAAAGAAAACGGTAAATAATAAGTGTAAAGTGCAATTATGTTAATTTTGTTGGTCAGACAATGTCCAAAGTGCAAACAAAGCAAATATTTCGTTTGAAAATGAAAAAAACAAGGCTACCGCTGCAAGTGAAGAAAAAAAGGCATACGTCGCCGTCATCATTTCTTAGTACTCATACAAAGGCAGGCTCACACATATGCACACACACACACACACAACGCACACAAGTAGAAATTGCATAGGGCTGTCTAATGTGTGCGTGGGTTCGTCGTGTATTAATTTTGCTGTGCAAACAAAGGAGACCACTTAATGCAAATAATGCAAAATTTAATTTAAAAATCTATAAATCGCTTTCTTTGTGTTCTATCTCGGTCCAAAAGTCAACGATTTGAGCACGCACACACGTCTTTAGGCAACCCTAAATTCTCGTGTGCGTATGTGAGTGTGTGTTTATGTGTATTGTGATTGTGTGTGTGTTGCAGGGTGTTGCTGCTGCTGCTGCTGCTACTGCTACTGCGGCGGCATATAAAAAGTTGCTACGTGTAGTTTTCATTTTCATACACACATTTTTTTTTGCGACATTACAATTTCTGCACATTTTATTTTTCATTAAAAAAATATTTGAGCGTAGTTTTAATGGCGTGTGCCGTGAATTTTTATTTGCACAACACTGACTAATCCAGTACTGTCTAATTGGTGTTGTTGTTGTAGTGTTGAGAGCCGCGTTTCCGTCATTTTCTTTACGAAATCAATTAAACTTTCGATTGAATTGAATTGAATTGCATGTTGAAGCACATTTCCAATGTGTGCGCGTGTATGTGTGTGTGATTTTGTTTTTTAACAATAAAACATATACACTAACAATAGTTAAAGCCGTCTCTGCTTACTATTGCCGCTGCTGACTCACCACAGTTTTTTTTTTTTTTTAAGCACTCGTCGAGTCATTCTGTTAGCATTTGCACTGATAAATCGTAACAAAAAAAACTCCCATATTCACCATAATCATTTACGCACTCTGCTTTAACACGTTTTTATTATATATTTTTTTGGTTTGTTGCTTTTTTGTTCTTTTAATGAGACAGCCGATGATGCTACACACACACGCATTGGCACATAAAAAATCAATATCTTATCAGTTGCTGCGTCAAGCGAGCTGCGCCGGCAGCAGCGCATTGAAGACCCAAGTTAAAGTTGATTTTGACAGTTTCGTTTTGAGAGGGATTTTTTTTTTGTATTTTGTTTCTAATTTGAAGCCAACAATCTTGAACTCTCGCAGCTGTGAATGAACTTTCGTTAAAGTTTTTGTTTTGTTGTTGTTTTTGGCCATTTCTACACTTTCTCGCTTGGTTGAAGTAATTTGGTAGCTGGTATTATACAGCTATTAAAAGTTTAATGGTGGATTTCATAATTTCATGATTTCGTTTCTGGTCTTCCAACTTACTCATCGCTGGTGAGTTAAACACGTCAGCTGAGTTTAGATTTCGACGCAGGGCAAATAAAAACAGTCATTGAGCCATTTACCAGCGAAACCTAAACAACGTTCGACTAAAACTTCAGCTCCACTCTTACATTATTTGTAATTTAAGTCAGTTTCATTGCTCGTAAGTCTCAACGGGTGGTTGTTTCTTTTGTCTTTTGTCCATATGCCATTGGCAGTTAATCGAATTAAGCCATAAGCCAAGCGAAACTAATTTTTGTTGTTTTCTGTTTTGTTTTTTTTTTCTTTAATTTGAATTCATTGCAGTTTCTTCGAATCGCAAGCACACAAATCCCAAGGGAGTTGCATATTAACAGCAGTTGCAACTCGGATTTGAACTTGTTTATAATTCCCGCATAGCAAGAAGAAGCAGTAGCAGTAACAATAACAATTAAATAACCCCTCCACATTGAACATTGACAAGAAGAAGCAACAGCAACCAGCAACATGGGAAATGTATTCGCGAATCTATTCAAAGGCCTCTTCGGTAAAAAGGAAATGAGAATATTGATGGTCGGTTTGGATGCCGCTGGTAAAACCACAATTCTGTACAAACTCAAATTAGGCGAAATTGTTACAACGATACCTACCATTGGTGAGTGTGCCATAACTCAAATAAAATTCTAATAATACTTTTATAAATAATAAATGCTTTCAGGTTTCAATGTGGAGACTGTAGAATACAAGAATATTAGCTTTACAGTGTGGGATGTGGGCGGCCAAGACAAAATTCGTCCATTGTGGAGGCATTACTTCCAGAACACACAAGTACGTCACGCAACAGGCATAACAAATAGCTTAACATTTATAGAATATATATAGATGATGTTAACAACTTGTAATGATTACTTATGATTATTCAAAGTTAATTTTTGTTTCAAGACGGGACTGATATTAATGCGATCTATCCACTTTATCATCAGGTCATATCGTTTATGCTAAAATTAATATGGTTCATTCTATTATTTTTCGTACAGGGTCTTATCTTCGTCGTTGATAGCAATGACAGAGAGCGTATCGGTGAAGCGAGAGAGGAACTGATGCGCATGCTGGCCGAGGATGAGCTCAGAGATGCAGTCTTACTAATATTCGCCAACAAACAGGTATGCAATTAAATTCGGAACTCAAATGATGAAAACCCGATCTCAAAAAAACTAGTTTAGTATTCAAAAATATGTGTTTACGCAAATGTATTTATTTCCGATGTTGTCAGCGTTCACAAAAATGTATTGCGCAAGCACGTAAAACGCACGTGCGCATCAAGTTTTCAACTGCGCTGATAAGAAAAACATAAAAAGGTGTTTTTTTTCATTTGGAGATAAGAGAGAACTAAAAGTGCACTATAGCTAATTAATGATCTCTTATGATATGGTTGATGTTAATGTGTTTTCCATCTCTTCTATCTTATCTTATTTAACAGGATCTGCCAAATGCAATGAATGCGGCCGAAATCACCGACAAGTTGGGCTTGCACTCACTCAGAAACCGCAATTGGTATATACAGGCGACGTGTGCAACCAGCGGCGATGGGCTCTACGAGGGTCTCGATTGGTTGTCCAATCAGTTAAAGAATGCTAATCGCTAAATTAACTACAGCAGCAGCAGCAACAACCACAACAACAAAAACAACAACAGAATTATTATACACTAACTTTGATTTCAAAAGCAAAGCAGCAACAACAAGAACAGCAACAACAACAGACAACGGCATCATATATGTGGGAAATAATAATAATAACAACAACAAGAACATCATCTACTACAACAAAAACAAAGGCGAACTTGTGGCTCTGCGCATTTCCATTTTCCAACAAACACACGCAAAGTCGCCGCGCATAATTTAAATTTGTTTAAGAATCGCAAGCAAACACCACACCACAAAATTTTTCAAACCAGCATCAGCATATAAAAGAACGCTATGATTTAATTTAAATTTATATTATATATATATAATTATTGGATGTTTAAAAAATGCAAAAATGATTAAAAAAAGAACCCAACCACCACAGCAACAACAAACAAAAAAACAAGTATATGGTATAAAATTGTCTTTTTAAGTTATTTTTGCCCTACCCCCTCATCAATATATATTTCTTTTTAATTTTATAAATATAAAAGTAATAATAATGAGAAAAACAAAACTGTAATTGTAATTGCTCTTTAAAAATACAAGAAAAAAACAATTTAATTTTGTTCGTTTGTGTCGATCGCTTGGCAGCAAAACTAAAACACATCCAAAAGAAACTATATGAAAACGGAACATACTATTTGTAAAGGTAATTATAAATAAAATTTTAATAAACCAAACTTGCTGAGCCACCATAAATACGGAGCTAGAGCTGATTAAACTATTTATTTGAATTTGAGCGATTATCGACTGGAAAAGGCCGACTGCAATTTTGAAACGGTGAATTGTTCCATAGTTTTACCAACACTGCTTTCACCAAAAATTCAGAGTTGCTTTTCCCGATAACGATACCAACAACTTGTTCATTTGCAGCTACGAAATTTTTCAATGAAACAAAAACTATATAAAAAACAATCAAAATGTCGGCCAAGCAATGCCCCAAGAAATTTAAGTGGCCCCTGAATTTTTGTGTTAGGTATGTGCAGCAAATGAACCCATTCATTTATAGTGGTTGATTCTCAAATTCTTTATTGTGATGCAGCAAAAATGCATATATGCCACAATACAACTGCGTTCGTAAATCAATCGGAAGTTGTGTGTGATCAGCAGGTAAGATCCACAGAGTCGCAAACGTGTTTCATTTATTTAGATAGATAGTAACTTTAAATTTTGGTGTTTTAGATCAGGGATGTACTTATTAGGTATATATTATTGCCTTTCATCACAAGTGGGCTGTCAAAACACGCCACACATGTTTAATCATCCATGATTTTTTTGGTTTCCTTATCGTTCACAATTTGTCAGACTGGCGTTCAGTGAAGAGTGTACAATTTTAATAAGCATTGATTTATTGTTGTCTACTATTTTCAATAGGAAGTATTAATTTTGAACATGATGTCGAAATTATTATAATTTGATTTTTATAATTATATAAAATTTAATTTGCAAATTTGATTAGCTGCTAATTGATTTTTCGATCTTCACTTTATGTTTAATCCGGCCTTGCTTGATGTTCGTTTTTAGACAGATTGGTATTTTTTATCCGTGAGTCAAGGCTACATTATGATAAACTAAATTTAAAACTGCCTGGCCTGGTTGAAAATTTGTATTTATGGAGCCATATTTGAACGTTACTTTTTCTTTCCCTCGAATAGCTCGGCGATTTTACGATTCATTCTTTCTATTAATTTTTGCGGATCGTCCACTCGAGCTACCTGCGAACATTAATAATGCTTCAATGATTATGTCAATTGACAATCATTAATACAAACTTCATAATTCTGCGATACGTAAACGCCCGTGTAAACTCCAGCCCCAAATGTTACCTGCAAATAGGAATGAAAACAAACTTTAAAAGATCGTTAATTAAAGGTTGAAAGAGTTGCTTTTATTAGTAGTATTTGGCCTGCTGACCATTGAAAAGACCAAAACTCGCCCGCCTGTCCACATCGGCTTGGGCGGACATGGAGGCAATGCATCGTACGGTTGATGGCATCCACTGGCGCATGAGGATTGACGTCGTTTGGCCAATTGCAACCCCAATCCAAGCAGTTTCATATTTATAATAGTTAGAAGGAATGTTGTTTCGAAAAATAAATTTAAAAACTGTCTGAGAAGTGGAAAACAGCAGACAACAGACATTTTACACCAAGTCAAATAGACATTTTTGAAAATATATTTTTCGTATTTGGTAGTGTCACTAAGCATACAATATTTTTATATACATTTGGGTGTACTATTTGGGTATTTAGTTGCATAGACAACCCTAAGGAATCCAGTGTTGGCTAATTTCTGCTTTCCTTTCCGTAATTTTTAACCATAAAACTCATATGCCAACAATAGTTAAAGCCGTCTCTGCTTGCTGCTCCTGACTCATCAGATTTTGTTGCTATTATTCTTATTGATAAATAAAACTTACATATTCAGCTTATTTTAAATATTTTATTTAAATTAAACCGGCCATTTCTATAGTTTCTCGCCTGGTCAGCTGACATACAGCTATATTTATTTTTAATGGTGAATCATAATTTCATGATTTCGTTTCGGTTTTTCTAAATTACCCAACGGTGGTCGGTTGATGCATGGTAAATAAAAATAACAAACATTTAGTTATATTATTGTAATTTTAGTCAGTTCTATTGCTCGAAGACGTAAGTAATAGTTAAAGACTTTGTTGCCCAAATATGGGTAGAATAATAATTCAAATATTTAGTAAGATTCACTTTGGTATCTAGGTAAACAAATAAGTGGCTCATAAATCTCATTATTTGACAGATTCGATTATTTCTACTTAGAGTATATACTTTAAGAATATGTTAAATAAATATATTTAACTATTAAACATGTTTTCTTCATATGCCACTGACAGTTAATCGAATTTTGCGGTTGCTTTTATTAAACTCTGCAGATTCATAGAGTCCAGAACGCACAAATCACAAAAGGAGTTGCATATTAACAATTTCTTATAATCAATGGGAAATGTATTTACCAATCTATTCAAAGGCCTCTTCGGTAAAAAGGAAATGCGAATATTATTGATCGGATTGGTTGATTCTGGTAAAACCACAATTCTGTACAAACTCAAGTTAGGCGGAATTGTTACAACGATACCTACCATTGGTGAGTGTATCATAACTCAATTAAATATTTAATAATACATTTATATAGGTAATTAATACTTTCACTTTCTTTGGCAGGTTTCAATGTGGAGACTGTAGAACACAAAAATATTAGTTTTACCGTGTGGGATGTGGGCGGTCAGGAGAAAACTCGTCCTTTGTGGAGGCATTACTTGCAGAACACACAAGTACGTCACGCAACAGGCATAGCAAAAAGCTTAACATTTATAGAATATATATATAGATGATGGTTACAACTTGTAATGATTACTTATGATTATTCAAAGTTAATTTTTGTTTCAAGACCGGACTGATGTTAATCCAATCCTCCTCCCTATCTTCAGATATAATCTTTTAAGCCAAATTAATATTGATCTGTTCTGCGTATGCTTTCAGGTTCTTGTCTTCGTCGTAGATAGCAATGACAGAGAACGAGTCGATGAGTCGAGGGAGGAATTGATGCGTGTTCTGGCCGAGGAGGACATCAGAGATGCAGTCTTACTAATATTCGCCAACAAACAGGTACGCAATGAATTGGGAAACAAATGATATAAAATAATAATACAAAAATGTAATAAAAAGTATGTAACTGGTAAAATCTTTTAACTACAGGATCTCCCAAATGCAATGAATGTGGACGAAATCACCGAAATCTTTGGTTTAAATTCACTCAAAAACCGCATTTGGCACATACAAGCGGCATGTGCAACCAGCGGCGATGGGCTCTACGAGGGACTCGATTGGTTGTCCAATCAGTTAAATAATTCAAATCGATAAATTAACTCTAGCAGCACGAACAAACAAAAATAGTTACAATATCTTTTTAAGTTATTTAATATAAAATATATTTCTTTTAATTTTGTAAATATAAAAAAATAATAATGTGATAAACAAAACTATAATTGTAATTGCTCTTTAAAAAAGCGGTGATAATACATAAAATTTAAATAAGAAAAACTTGTTGAGCGACTTATAATTTGGAATCAGTGGGGTTAACTATTAATTTGGATTTCAGCGATTATCGACTATGATAATGCCGATAACAATTTGAAGCACTGGACTGTTCCTTAGATTTACCAACACTTCACCGGCACCAGTTTAGCCAAAGTTTCAGAGTTGATTTTGCCGATAACGATAACAACAACTTTTTCATTTGCTGCTGGTGCCAATTTATAAGCAATTTTTCAATTAAATTAACACAAAACTACATAAAAAACACAACCAAAATGTCGGCCAAGCAAAACTCCAAGAAATCCAAATGGGCGCTGGATTTTAGTGTAAGGTATGTGCAGCAAATGAACCCATTCATTTATTGGGGTTAATTCTACAATTCTTTCTTGTGATGCAGCAAAAATGCAGATATGCCATCGCCGCCTGGCTACAATCCGACGGCGCTTGTAAATCAAACGGAGGTTGTGCGTGATCAGCGTTTGGTAATTAAGAAATCATGGGATCTGGCGCTGGGACCGCTGAAACAAGTAAGCGATATATGGATGTCTTACGATGACTAAAGTAACCTTTATAATTGCTTGATTTCAGATACCAATGAATTTATTTATCATGTACATGTCGGGCAATTCAATATCCATCTTCCCGATAATGATGGTGGGCATGATGCTGATACGTCCTATAAAGGCGATGTTCACAACTCAAGTCACCTCAAAAATGGCCGATGGTGCACAGGGCACCGGCCAGCGTATCATCTATATTCTGGGCAATTTGGCGAATGTCGCGCTGGCGCTTTATAAGTGCCACAGCATGGGTCTCCTGCCCACGCACGCCTCCGACTGGCTAGCATTTGTGGAGCCTCAAACGCGCTTAGAATATTATGGGGGTGGTGTTTCATTTATTTAGATAACTTTAAATTTTGCTTTATTTGATCATAGATAAAATTTGTTTTAACACAGAAAAACTAAATACATATATTGTCTTTCCTAGCGATCGGGTTGTCAAAACACGCAACACATCTCTTTAATCGTCCATAATCTTTTTCGCTTCCTTTTTGATATCGTGCACAATTTGGTCGACTGGTGTTCTGTGAATGGTGTAAAATTTATTTAGATTATCCATATAACTATTGTATATATTTGAGAATTGTTAATTTTGCATGTGAAGTCGAAATCATGTGAAATTTAATGCGCCAATTTGTTTAGCAGTCAATTGGTTGATCGATCTTTGTTTCATCATTCATTCGGCCTTGTTTTAAGTTCATTCTAAGCATTTTATTAGTAAATTTGTAAAATTTGTTTTCATTTACATTCGGATAAAATAATTTTCAAACTGCCTGGCCTAAGCGTGATCGAGAGCATAAAATATGAAAGTTACTTTTTCTTTCCGTCGATTAGCTCGCTAATCTTTTCGTTCAGTCGCTCCATCAATTTTTTGGGATCATCTACACGAGGCACCTGCGAAGAAGAGTAGCAATATTTCAATGTTTACAACAACTGCATTATATTATTAATACATACTTCATAATTTTGCGATACGTAGAGGCCCGTGTAAACTCCAGCCCCAAAAGTTAGCTGAAAATAGAAATGATATCAAAATTAAGGTTAAAGAGTTGCTTTTATGTGTATTATTAGTATTTGGTCTGCTGACCACACAGAGAAACATCAACCGGCCTGTGCGCAACCGTTTAGGAGGATAAGGCAACAATGCATCGCAGAAATGAGGATCTCCTTTCAGAAATTGCATTCTCAATCCAAGAAGTTTCATACTTATAATATTTGTTGTTGTTCTTTCCAAAAATGTGTTCAAATACTAAATTACAAGCCGAAAAACTACAGACACTTTAGGCCGAGTCTATTAGAATTTCAAAATTGAAAAAAAAAAACATGTAAAAACCTACAGACACTTTAGGCCGAGTCTATTAGAATTTCAAAATTGAAAAAAAACATGTAATACCTTGTTGCCATTATACGTTTTATGCTTAGTTGAACATAGATCGCAGTAATTCAAATGTTTGCTGCAAGGAAGACACTATGGACCTAATCTAAATCACAATAATATTAGCTAGTCTAAAGTTTATATAATTCTGACATTTCTCCAAGCTAAACTTTTTGGTATTTGCGTAAACTGTTGTTGGTATTTCTTTGTTGCCTGCCAAATAACATGGCTACAACAACAACAACCGCAGAAGCAGCATTAAATCATCGCCATAAAAAGAAATGCGGCATTTTGTTGTTTGCTGAGTTGCAATGCTATGCAAAACTGCTGCAAGAATTAGCCACTGCACATCATTACACAAACTTTCACTTGTATTTCGTATATCTTACCAAAAATTTCAGCATTGTCCAAGTATTAAAATCACTTTTTTTACCCGCACGCTCCAGTGTGAGAAACAAAACAAGAACTGCGTTGAGCAAAATGTCAAAACGGGCACGAGCTTGTGTGTGTGAATGAGAGCGAGATAGAGAGGGAGCGCACGTAAAACAGCTGGCAGACAACGTTTTGTATGTATGTGTATGCTTGTATTTGTGCGTTTGATGCTTTTCTGTGTTATCTAATCACAAAGCAATGGTATTTAACTCTAGTGCCACAAAAGTTCGTTAACAGCTCTATGTTGTTAGGCAGTGTGTAAGTCTGTATTGTGGGCGCGTATTTTTGCAATTGATTGAATTTTATTCACTTTGATTATTCTGTTTAATTGACAAATGCAAATAGAGAGGATTTTTATTGGCCAGCGCGACGAACGAGTAACGTGTAAATTGCCAGAATAAAGCTAATCAAAATGGCTGTATCTGTGTTGTGTGTGTGAATGCTAATGCTATTTAGGCCAAAATACAATAATGTTTCGGATCAGACTATGTGTTTAATGAAACTAATTTTTGAACGCGCGCGTTAACTGCCAGAGAGCAGTGGTGGCACAGCAAAATGCGTTTCACAACACTACAAACTCGTTTGTTTGGCTGCTTAAACAATATCAAATGAGAAATTGCTGATATTGTTTAATCAACTGGTGTTTATTAGCATTACAACATTATTTAAAATCAAATTGCACATTTAACAAGGACGCAATTACACATAAAGGGGGGTTACACACGATTACAAGTACATAATAAAATATTTAATCTTCTACGCCAAAACCGCAGGTCTTGTCTTCATGTAAATAAATGCCACTATCTGAAACAGATTTGAAATAATCAAATATATTTGATAATCTTTGCAATTACTCACCAACATGGCAATGGCGCCCAGTGCCGGCAGCACAATAGTTCCAATTTTCGCTTGATTTTGAGCATTCTCCAATTTGCGCTCCTTTTTTTGCTTACGCGTTTCCTTAACGCTGCCCTTCAGCTGACGCATTTTCTAAAATCATAAATCATTTAAATCAAATATTTGCAAATTTTTTTCACTTACGTTCTGCGATAGTAAGACAAAAAAGTGCTGATGTGTCTAGTTTTGAACTTCTAGAATATGCAAATGGAGCAAAGCAAAGCGATTGAGCCGTTTGGGTTGCCACCGACAGCTTTGTCAACAAGTAGTCTTTGTGTTGTTGTTGTCAGTTCTTCTTCGTCTTTTCTCTCGTCACTTTACGCATAAGAAAATCGTAGTTGCTGTTGTTTTGCTTGTTGTTTCAGCTGTGAGAAAGGTATTAAGTTAATAAGGTTGCATGAGTTGCGGCACCATCCACTGGGCTGATAAGACCGCTTTACAACTCCTTTGTATAATGTGTTATTATCCCACACGACTGAGAAACAATTAATTGGTGCGAAGTTGATAGCAAACGCATAAAGTAAGGTGTTTTTATTTGATAATATATTATTTCAAATTCTTAAATATTATAACGTGACGTCACTGGTTGACCGGCATGTAGCGGCAAGAGCATGTCGTGAATAAGCTAGTAATGGCACAGTGCTGCCAGATCAGTGAAAAAACATAATTAGTCCAGTGTTGTTAAAGGGTTATGCTTTGGCCGCGCGTTTTAAAGAAACACTTGTAAAAAAATATATATACATAGTATAAAACGTTCCAAAATTAAATATTATTAAATTTTCAACGAAGCCATTTAGTATTTCAAGGCATGTTATTATTGCAGTAGTATATTTATTGCAGCCAGTTGATGTTATTTTTTAATTTAAGCCTGCCACTACAGCTGCTTGTTTTTCATTTTCATCTGCGCTGATGTTGAAAATACAATTTCTCCAATACAAAAACAAACTCGCACAGCCCCACAAAAACTTGATGAGTGATTTTTGTAACAGATACTGCGCACTGCAGTATCCTTTGCTAATATTAAAGTTGTTTTCACCTTGTAATTATGGGTAAAAGGGTGAAAAGGGTACCATCAAGGCAAGCATCTTCGGCCACAAATTTAAAGCTATAATTTTCCAATTCAACGGCAATATAATTTGTCATAATTAATATGATATATCGATATGTACGGTGCATGGTAGTTAAAGACTTGGCTGCAGGGCATACGCTAGTCGGTCAGTCTCGACCAGAGCCCAGAGTTACTTGTTTTCCTTTCCTTTTTACTTTTTGCTTAAAGCACTCATCACATGTGCCGCCCACATGTTAGCTTTGTGCCGTGACTGTTTCGTGTTTCTTCTCTTTCTAGCCCACATATATACATATATATTTTTTTCTGTTTTATTTATTTATTTTTTTCTTTTAGTTTTTGAGCATTTTGCTAAGCTCCGTTGGCAGAGCTCCAAGAGGCAGTGAACCAGATATGCCCGCTGCTAACTGTTGCACCTTCACCTTTAAATGCGATTTTCAAAATGTATGAGCAGTTCCAAATGGACTTAAGGGCCACATATACGTGCATAAGCTAGTAGAGAAAAGGGCGGGGCAGCTGTCACTGCTTGGGTTTCCTGTGGATGCCCCCACCCCCCCTCTCACGGACAACCATCAACATTTCAAACTGTTTTGGGGAGTTGCTTCTTTCTTACGCTAATTGACAGCATTCCTCATGGCTGCTGCATCGAGAGTAGAAAATGAAGCAATAATAATGCAAAATGACCGCCTGAAAACCGTTGCAAATCATTCGAGACGCACGCCCAAGTTTGTGCATCGATAATGAAGCATTCATTGGAGCCAGTTGACCAGGCCAAGCCAAGCGAAGCCAAGCCAATGGCTAACCAAAACATTTTGGCATCCTCTAAGTTCGTCCATTACCATAAACGGCAACCCGATCAATTTGGACACGGATTATTGGCAACTATTTAGTTGGCCACGCAGACAAAACAGACAGACAGACTGGCAGGCAGGCAAGCAGAAAGGCAGGCAGACAGGCAGTCAGGCAGTTGGCTAAAATGGCCCAAAGCTGCCACTTGTCCAAGTCGTCAGGCTGCCGTAAATTGAGCTTTGAATTCGCCTCTCTTTTCGTCCCCCCTCTCTCTGTCTCTCTCTCAATCTATCCCACTCCCGCCCGCTGATTTGGCCTGAATGTGTATGGAGCATGTCGAAAATGCATGTTTCCTGATCTCTGCGCTCCGCTTCTATTACGACTAGTTCGGACTTTAAGTTAACATGGTTTTCGACTTGTTCGTTAGTCGCTAATTCAAGTGTTGAGCGCGTGACACGAAAATCATCCCAAAACTGTATACGATGTATGACGACTACGATCTTTTTCCAATGGCATATTTTAAATATATCAAATATTTATTTAACTATAAGAATTTATTTATTTTTATTTATTTTATTATTATTTTAAATTAATTGTCTAAAATTATCAAATTTGTCTAATACTACAAAAGAAATCTTAACAATTTCTTTGATTTTCATAAACAAAAGTCTATAAAGTTCATTATTATTTTATTCAATATTGTTCAATTGTAATTTATTTCAATTTCACTTTATGTTTTTATGTATTCCAATTTTTTGTTCATTCCTCTTTTAATATGGTTTTATTTTATTTCCATGTATATATTCTTACACATTTTTATTAATTTTTTTCTTCAAATTTATTTATATATATTTTAAATTTCTAAATTTAATTTCTATCTAAAAAATATACAAATTTTTAAAAATTAATTAAACCAAATCATTAATAAGATTAAAAGGAAATAAACATGTGATAAAATAATAAGTTCGAATTTATTAATAATTAATTTGATTAATTAATTTGTTAAACATTAAAACAGTAGTCACTAAATAAATATTAAAAAATATAGCAAAACTATTTCATTTTTTTCTCAAATATTTTTTGTTGGCGTTTAAAATATGATAAATATTATTATAAAGCTGATTAAATGAATTCGATCTGCACGAAAGCAGCTCTAGCTGCAAGAATTGGTAACTGCGGCAGCTAGCCAACTTTGTTTGGCCGTTGATTGGCCGGACACATTGGCCGCGTGTCCAGTTGTCCGATCATCTGTGAGTCGAGTCTGTTTTGCCGTCCGACTCCTTGACTGACTTAGCTAAACTCCTTATTTTGATTGCCAAGTCGTAAAATGATGGATTACCGAGTTGGGATTTATTTCTTGTTACGGTCATAATAGATTATCTTTGCTCACTCATTGTCAGACCGTTGAGCCTCCGAGACGCGTTCGCATCTTCTTTCGACAAATGCTCGTTAGGCTCGCCGTGGAATTGCCTACCGTTTTTTAAGCAGCTTTCCAAGCAACTTGAGAGGCGCACTCAAATCAAGCATGATGATAAAGGTGCTTTCTGCTGCAGCTTAATCACTCAAGTCAACATAAATAATTGGAATTGACTGTGTTGGCGGTTGGTGGACGGGGTAGCAAAAGCTCCATAATAAGATTACAAAGATTAAATTTAATGATAGATGTAATAAAATTATACTTGTAACTAATTAACCAAATCATTAATCCAAGCATTCAAACCAAAATGTATTTCCTTAGTTTCTAAATCATAAATCATTCCAAGTGATCTTTCAAATAGGATTAAACAGTAATATGCTACTTCTTTTCCCAGTAACATTGATATTCGAATTATTTGTAATTATTTTCTCAAAAATTCTTAATTTTATTTGGTAAAATAAGGTTATTTATTCATACGAAGAGCTGCAATTAATATACAATTGATATATTAATTTATATTCCTAGCCAAAGTAGGCGGCATAATATTGAGGGGCGGCCACATAGGCAGCAGAGGCAGCAGCTGGCACAGCAGCTGAGGCAGCAACAGGGGCGGCAACTGGCGTAGCTGGGGCAGCAACTGAGGCAACTGGAGCAGCTGGTGCCACAGCCTGTGGCGCTGCGATAAACTTGGCAAATGTCGTTGGCTGCACAAAGCTCACAGCGCCAGCAGGATAATAAACAATGGACGGGTGCTGAACAGGTACGAGGGGTGCTTGAGGAGCAATGGGTGCTGGAGCTGCTGGCGCTGCCTTGGACACCTCTACCTCCTCGGCGGCATCGTCAATGTCCTCCTGTGTCTCGCTGTTGGCCACCAAACGAGCGGATTTCGCCTGAAGACGGGCAGGAGCTGAAGCTGGAACTGGAGCGGGAGCGGGAGCGGCAATGGGAGCGTCAGCTGTAATGGGTGTTCTATATAGCTGCTGTGGAGCAGCATAGCTCATTGCTGGCTGTGGAATCTGCTCCAGGTTCTGTGAGCCCGGCTGGTAATTGTAACCCGACTGCTGCTGCTGCTGCTGTCGCTGGAACTGGAACTGTTGCTGTGGATAGCGACGACGCTGCTGCTGCTGCTGTGCATCCGCCTGCGACAGGCTCAACAGACAACCGAGCAGCACGACGATAATAACTGGACTGAGCTCCATTGTTGTGGACTGACTGACTGACTGACTGAGTGACCGATTGGCTAAGTGACTGGGCCGCCACTCGGTTTTATATTTATTCGTGCCTTGGCGTCTGCTTAAGATGCCAAACGCGTGCCAAAAAAAAAATGGGATTGGCGTGCAGAGGAAGAGGGCGGAGGGAGGGAGGAGGGAAGCCTGCAACGACCTCAACGGCCAGCAAAACAAAATTGACATTGACCCCAAAAAGTAACCACCCAATTGAAATTGTTGCATTTGCATTTTGCATTTGAGCGATGCTTCGCTCATAACCCAAATCCAAAACAAAACGATCTAAACCAAAAAGCAAACTGCTCGACTCGATGGTACCCTGTAAACTTTGGCAATATCATCTGTGAATTTGAGCATTGAAATTGCCAAAATATATTCTTTATTTAATTATAGAAATCTTTAAATAAATTAATATTCTTAGACTGAGTTCTAAGTTTGAACTTGAAGAAAGTTTGTTCTATTCTTCCCTTTAATTTTCTATTTGACGTTCGTTCTTGATTGTAGATTAAAGATCTTAATTCGATCTTGAGAAATTATTATTAATTTTATTATTTATTTCGCATATTTCATTTATAAAATAAAAGATTTTTGAATCAAGATTAAAATTTAATTGGGGCATACATTTATCTTTCCCGTATTATATTTTCCAATTCATGATGCCATTTTGTTGATGACTTTGTCCGATTACAGGGTATATCAGTGCTTGATCCACCTTGATCCGAGTACTGGTCATCGTTCGCATCGTCTGCTCGTCATCAATATGCAGTCGATGTTCTAACATTTTATTGGCCTTTTATTTTGCTTCTTTTTTTTTTCTTTTTCTGTAGTTGGCCCGTTGCCCACGTGTTGCTGAGGAGCTACTTCTGCTTTTGGCGTTTTGGTCAGTCAATAGATTGGAATACATATATGTAGCATTTGTGGTGCGACTTGCAGGCCAGTCACGTACATTGTAACACTATAAATTACGCTATCTGACATGGGGCACATGTAGTGGTGTCCACTCCGAATTGGCTTAGACGATGGTCAGATGGCCAGTAAAAAGGCAGGTGACAAAATGTGTAATAACAAACCATATCACAAATTACCGAATAACGAACTCGCAACTGCAAAACGACTGGGAATTTGAGGTATTACCTTAATCGGCATGCATGGGACACCATTTCAAATATAGATATATATAAATATATATATATTTATAACTAAAATAGTTATTATTACTACTCATATTCGAGGACAATTTTGGGTAACAGCAAATATCAGTTTAAGCTGAAAGATTTGAATGCCACTAAAGTAATTGCTGTGAAGATATTTCTGTGTCAAACTCAACTCGCTTTTGGCTCTCTTCTTTTTACATAATTCAATTACATTTGAAACATTAACCCAAATTAATCAAATCACATCGTTGTTAATTGAATTTTACGCGTTCTGTTGACACCCATAAAATTAATCTTGTCGAAATAATCGATTAACTGTGTAATTTTTAACAGAAACTTCATAAATTCAACATAAGTATTACTGGAACCGCCTCCAGGCTTAATAGCTCATAACTGCTCCATTTGCTGGCTATGAATAATGCTCTATAAATTCAATTTAAAAGTGGAGAACTTGGCAGCACCATAGGGATGCGACTTTTAGCACAATATTTACAACGGTTCCAATAAAAATGATTCAACTAATTGTTGCAATTAATTTATTAAACTATATTCGCCACTATCCACTGGTAGTCAGCTTAAGACCAATGGACTAGTCGCGTTGGATACCCTTGCAGAGGATAGGATTGGGAATTTAAGATTGTGTATACCAAACGTGGATCAAGTTTATTCAATTTGATCGATAACTAAATATAAAATAAATCGATATTTTTTGCATAAAAGAGGCCCAGTTGTAAAATATAGTTTTCCAATTGAAAAACCGAGATTTATTACATTATTGATTAACTGTAAGAATTATATAAATATGGATAAAAGACCAAACTTTTAAATAAGGCAATATTAGCTGGCACCCAAACTAATATTTAATATTGAATATTATTTTAATATTGTTATTGTTTTTTTTTATAAAGAGTTCAGCATATATTTTTCTAAAATTTATGAAAAGTTTGTCTCAATTCTATGATTTTTTTTTAACACTAAAGTTGCCTTTTCTGCTATTACTATTATCATTAAAGATTAGTATTTTAGATTTGACAAATACAAGCATTTTAGTTAATGAATTCATGAATTTAATTTTAAGGAACTTCAAAATTTCTAATATTTTGTATTAAAAACAAATAAATTAAAAAAAATAAAAATAAAAAAAAAACCTTTCACTTATTTTTGTGTATTTAGAAATGATGTGTAGAAAGAAGAGAAATTTTCCAGTTTTTAGCAGGGTATGTGGTAGTCGCGCTGTCTCGAGTTGAGCGTTCTAACTTGTTTTTATTGCTCAACGTGAAGCAATTCGTATTCACACATATAGGGACATACAGGTGAACATTGGGGCACACTAGTCGGTGGCCAGTGGCCAGTGGCCAGTGGCAACTTTATGACCCGTTAGTGAAAATGCAGATTTGACGCGTTAAGTTAAGCCGCACAGCAATTATCATTTAGCGTGTGCCACTCCCTAATGGCACTATAGTCAACAATTTCTGTGGCGCAACTGTACTTTGATTTAATGAACTCTTTGCTTTTCCTTGTCGCAACTATCGCTTGTCATATTTGCCCATTACGCTTTGCAAAAGGTTTATTTATTTCCTGATTATGATTGAGCAAGTGGCTATTATTTTTATAAGCAATTACTAACAATTAGTACGACTTTAAAGCACGATTTATCGGGTTTTCATCGTGCAACCAACAATTATTTATTACACGCATTGCCATCTCATTTTTCAACCTTGAATAATAATTTATTTTATTAGATATTATACATCATTTTATTTATGCATAATATAGAAAGTATTACAAAATACAAAATTTGATATTTACTTTGATAATTCGATTTTTCTCTTAAAGAACTCTTCTGATTGCTAACAGTTTGTTGTATATTTTCCATCCATGCAATTAGTACACAAATGGTAGCAAGTTCTAATCTCTGCCACATGCATCACAAATGCCACATTCATTTGCAGCAATTTGAAAAGAAGAAAAGTGGAAGCAAAAGGGGAGGGGGGAAAATTTGCATTTTCATGAATTGCTAGTGGGTTCTTGGAAATGGGCATTCGTATCTATTGCAGAGAACTGGGCATCATATTTCAAAGAGACAGTCACGGCCAATGGATCGAGCTTCTCTATAGAGAGTCTCTCCTGGGTTCCCGGCCTAAACATTGGCTCGCTGCGGGAATTATGTAGATTATGGTTGCATTTGTTGCAAGTTGGCAGCTGGAGCGTGTTTTGCGGCGCGTTTTACAATTAATTTTCGACCAAGTTTGCCTGTTAGTCAGGCCGAAACCAGACCGGATTGGGTTAGGCGAAATAGTTTCTCTAATGTTCACCCGGTTTTTTTTTATTTTTTTTTGCCTCAGTTTTCCTTGTGATTTATTTTTGCTTTTAGTGTCTTTTATTTTATGATTTATACGGACTGCGACTTCTCCGTTCTTGGCTTCTTCTGGGTGCGCTTTTTTTTTGGGTCCGGTTCTGCGTATTTCTTTTCCTTAGGCCTCGACTATGTCTCTGGCTTTGGCATTGGTGATTTTTCATTATTTTCATCGTAGATCAAAATTAAGTGATTTTAATGATGAAATTTATTGGCGTATTTATTTGCTCATGATTTGGAGCAAACTATCTGCCAACTGGAACTTTAAGAGACATGTAAATTTTGCTCCAGGGGCGCAATGCCAATAAATATGTTGGACATGTGACAGATTATATTCGAAAGATAAATGATCCTATACTTTGAGACAACTTTGTAAGTGCGCAAAGCAAAAAATGAGCAACAACTTTAACAAGAATATTGTCTGCATTAAAATACAAAAAGCATCACAAGTGAAACCGAAACCGGAAAGCGAAATTAACTGATTGAAATTCACTCCTGAAACCGTTGATGAACAATATTTCAAGAACCGGAACTGATTATAGTATTCAATATTATTCAATTCATATCGATTTTACAGTCTTATTACTTGTTAAGAGAACAGTGAAAGTCTTAACCTAAGAGAATATTTTTAAATCAAATTCGTTTATTCTGAAAAGCAGAACACCCTTACTGACAAATTGATTTTAGATTGTAGATCTTGTAGAGTGATAAATAATATATATATATATTTAATATATATAATTATTCTTTCTGGTTATATTCAAGCCATTTTAATACCAAATGTGCCAAGCAACATTTCCCATTTGTGTCGATTAATATTTTAATTAATTACTAAATGCATGTTATGTTGTTCTTTCCATTTGACTGCATTCGGACGCATTTGTTTTAAATGTGACTAGACTTCATTATTCATTCTGCGATTTAAAAAAAGAACCACACATACAGCCATAACCAAAATTGGATTTTGTTAAATAAATGTTTAACAATGTTTGTGCGTCAATTTGGTTTAATTATGAAAGGGGTTTGCAGACCAAATAAATAATTAATTACAAAGGACGGCTACAAAAAGCAGATATTGCAATTAAATTAAAATGTAAATACGCAAAATTTGCATTTAACAGTAATAATTAATTACCTCATTTGGCTTAAACAAATAAATACATACATAATGGGATAAATGGAGAGACTGTTAATGATAACTTCTCGAAAAGAAGATTCCCCGTTTGGCAGTTTCATAATTAAATTATACCTGTGCTAAACCATTCTAATTAATACAGTTTACTACAAGACAAACTATCAAACTAATTAATATTAATAATAAAATAATAATTTTAAATAAGTTTACCTAATCAAAATAAATATCTGAGCCAACAATTTAATTTTTTTTAAATAACTCTGATAACAATATATTTTTGTGCTATCTACAACAACTGGAAATTAGCCTATCTAAACTAAAAGAAATT